GGCCGGGCTGGATTCGAACCCACCACCTTAGGTGTATGTGGCTGGCGCCTTAGCCACTTAAGCCACAGGCGCCGAGCCCCATAGATTTCTTTAAAGCCAAAATCTAGAAATAAACAAAATGTCCATCAATAGTAGAATAGATAAATTATATATTCATGTAATGGAAAGCCTTACAGTAATGACAAGTAAATGAATTATAGCAATATATAAAAAAAACAATCACAATTCTAAGCGAAAGAAACCAAACAGAATGCACATACTATGTTTCATTTATATAATGGTTAAAAATAGGTAAAACTATATGATATTAAAAGTCAGGATAATGGATAGTGAAGAGAAAGAAAGGGCTAGTGATTGCAAGTACATATAAAAGAGCCTCTCACATGGTGGCAGTGTTCTGTTTCTTGACCTGTGTGGTAGTTACATGAGTGTTTACTTTATTGAAATCTTCAGATGTGCATTTGTTATTAGCACATTACTGCACATTACTATTTTTTTGTATGCTGCTTAATATAAATTGTTAAAATAATAATTAAACAAATGTCATGTTTGATTCATCAAATTAGTATAACCTTTACATTTTTATTTTAATATTCAAGTCTGGTATAGAGTATAGATGTGCTAAAGACTTCATATACTTCCAGTGGGAGTAAATTTTTTTTTTTTTTTTTTTTTTTGGCCGTGGCTGGATTTGAACCTCCAGTACATGGGGCCAACGCCCTACTCCTTGAGCCACAGGCAACACCCCCTGTGGGAGTAAAATTTATCATAACCTTCCTGGAAATCAGTTTGATAATGATTTGGAAATGCTTCAAGATATTGATCCCTTTTGTTACAGTGAGTCCCTCTTGGAAGCCATAGGACACAAAGTCAGCAGTGTGAATGTAGATATGTATATAAAGATGTTAATAATAGTATTTTGTATAGTAGAAAATCAACACTAGAAGAATGGATAGTATAAATTATGATGCAGTATTATTCAAACCAGTAAAAATTTTAATCATAGTTTTTTATGACATAATAAAATGCTTGTGTTTAGAAAGAATATGCAATTATAGGTGTAATGAGATCTCAGTTTTTCCCCCAAAGCATATATTTTGATAATCTGAAGGGAAAGTTATAATTGGGGTTTAGTTTATTTTCTGGCCTCACAGGTTATTTTAACCTTAGTATAGGTCAGTAGTGCTTTTTAATCAAATCCGTTTATCTTTTCATTTCTTCTTTCTTTTTAAATTTCAGATTATCATGGGAGTACCTGTGTTTGGTTACATAGTTGCTTTTGTATGGTTAAAGTCAGAGTTATAGGTGTGTCCTTCACCCAAAAAGTGTATTATATATCTGTGTAGTATACCTGTTGGGTGGGAATTTATACATCCCCTTCTCCCTCTCCTCCCAACTTGAATTTCATTGAGTTTGTGTCTATGTGAGCATAGAGGTGTTCAACAATTAGTTCTAGCTTAGTATTGAATACATGTGGTGTTTGTTTTTCTGTGCTTCACTTAGGAGAATGCCCTCCAATTCCATCCAGATTGTTACAAAAGATACTAAATCGCCATCTTTTTATTGCTGATAATATTCCATGGTATGCATATACCATAATTTATTAATCCATTCATGTATTGAAGGGCACTTGAGTTGTTTCCACACCTTTTTGTTGTTGTTGTTGCCCTCTGGTAGAGTGCCATGGCGTCATAGCTCACAGTAACTTCAAACTTTTGTGCTCAAGTAATTCTCTTGCCTCAGCCTCCCTCGAAGCCGAGACTATAGGCACCTGTCACAATGCCTGGCTATTTTTTTTTTTTTTTTTTT